TCATCTGTGAAATGGGACGGTAGCTACCTACCTCATAGTGTTATGGCTAAGATGGAATGAATTGATATAGGCGACAGGTTCAGCCTGTACCCCGGGGGCTCAGAATTTATTTGGTTTCTGACGTGACTGTTTACAGAAGGGTATCACTCTGCTTGACATGAACAGTATGTCAGTAAGACACTGTCTTATGTGCTGCGTTAGTACTTTCCCCCTTTCCACATATTGAGCATCCTACCCGGATGCATGGCTTTAACAATGACTTAAGTGTCTGACATTTAGTGTCTTTGAGGTTCTCAGTAGCAAAGAACTACTTGATTTCCTTTCAGTGTTCAGTTTCCTAGTAGCTTGAACATCAGAAGAAATTTCTCTCTACTCATGACACATCATGAGAGCTTTGGTGTTTGTACAAAAAATACACAGAGTTTGGATATTGCTTTTCATTTCAACAGAGACCCAAATTATATTCTACTTTTTCCAGGAAAGGAAATTATGATTATTAGCTTCAAAGTATGCTTTAGCTACTATGAAACTGGCAGCAGAAGAGATCAGAAGGTCTCTCTGGTCATCTTGGTGGGGTCTCTCTGCTATGGACTGAATGTGAATCCCCCAAATTCCTATGTGGAAGCCTGCTCCCCAGTGTGAGGGTCATAGGAGGTAAGGCCTTTGGAGGTGATTGTGTCATGCGAGTGGAGACCTCATGAATAGGGTAAGAGGCTGGATGGAGCGTGTTTCCTCTCTCTCTGCTCTCCACTATGTGATGACATAGCAAGAAGATGGCTGTTTGCAAACCCAAGTGAGGAAGTGAGCCCTCATTAGACAAGGCTGGCGCTTTGATCTTGGGCTTTCCAGCCTCCAGAAATACAACAAATAAGTGTTTTCCATTTGTGACCCAGTCTATGGTGTTTTTGTTGTATTGGCCTGTGCTAAGACACCTTGACTACTTCCAGAACTCTCCTTGCTCACCTAGCATCAGAATTTCTGTTTGCACACATGCCTTTCCTGGAC